AAAGGGCGCCAAAAAGCTCAAAACTTGTGAAAGCCATAACTCTGTCAAAATGAGTCAGCCCATCATAAAAATTGGAGGGTATATGCAGTTTTACTTCCTCTAAAAAATGGCCAAAAAAACTAAACACGCGAGGGGGGTGAAGCCCCCCATTAAGATTTCAATATAAAAAACAAAATTTGCTTTCTTTTTCTATCACACTACTTCAAAAACATTAAAAAAAAACGAAACATCTATTATGAAAAATAATACAAGTTAATAACAAAAGAAATATTTAATTAAAATTGTTCTATAAATATTCGTATATTTTTTTGTGCACATTGTGCTTCGGTTGACCATAAATGAAACATTGGATAAGTATGCATTAAACCATAACCTTCTTCTAATATTATTTGACCATTATTTTCAAGAATTTTGTTTTTTAATATTGTTGCATCCCATAAAAATAATTCTTCAGTACCAACACTTACATAAAGTGGAGGAAAATCTTTGAATGAATGTTCTTTTGGATTTATTGTATCTAATTGTTGATTATATTGTTCATAATAATCGATACCTGCTGGATTCTGATCAATATTAAATATTTGTTCACGTAAATTAAGTATTAATTGAAGTGAAAATAAAATACGTTTTTGTTCTGTTTGAGTATCATGTTCAATATCAAGAAAACTTATATCAACCCATGGTGATAATAAAACAAGTGCAAGTGGAACTGATTGTTTTTGTTCAACAATTATCTGAATAAGACGAAGCCATAGTAAACCACCTGAAGAATCACCCATACCAATCATACGTTTATTAATATTAGAATCATATTTTAACAATGACATATAGACAGTAATAACATCATCGAGAGCCGAAAATATCTTATGTTCTGGAGCAAGGCCATATTCAATATGTATAACAGGCATATGATATTCACGAGATAGATAACATTCATAACCTGAATAAAGTTCAATGTCTCCATAAACAAAACCACCACCATGTATATATAGAAGAAATTTTTGACTAGTATCTCTCCAAT